ATATTATGACTGCACTACTCGAGCTAAGCAATAAAAGTGCCTAGGGGTGGGTGCGGTCAGCCGTTTACTATCGTAAACTGCAATGGGGAGGTTATTCCCACTAATTGATTCTTACACGAGTGCTATTAAAGTTATGACCGATGTTAAAATGGAATACTAACTTTATAGATAACTAGACTATTTACTTTGGAGACTATTCGATCGATGTATATACACATGGAATTGTCAGTCATTTCTTCTACGGTACGAGCAAGTGTAAATTGTAGAAAGCCTGTTTATTTTTCCTGATTATTAATACAACGAACGTTTCTTCAAAAAAGAGGCGTGATAAAGCTTTTGCTGGCAACGTAATGCCGCAGTTACCTTTGTTCGTTAGCTAGTAATCGGGTGCACAAAAGACATTACTAAAATTCGGGCACCCGAAGCAACATTTACACTGGAATACGGGCTAGAAGACGGTGTCGGATAAACAAAAGGAAACCTACCCGAATACAGGCATACTCGACTCCGTTCATTTACACTTAGCCGTTTACTTGAATGTCATTGACACTCGTATTGGGGACAAATACAATTGCAATCGACCAATAAAGGCAATCAAAGTGTTACATCAACCAAAATCACACCAGTAAACTATTATTTTTATGTGTTCCGGCTCATTTCATTGATATGCTAGCGTCTCCCTACCACAAAAACCTTCATGCTGTTTTAGTCTCCGAATCCTGGCTTAAACCTTCTCTGCCTTCTTCATCCTATACGTTACCTGGTTTTCATTTGATACGTAACGATCGCACTGGCTCTCGAGGTGGTGGATTTGCAATTTATTTATGTACTCATATTCCCTTTACTCTAATCAGCTCCTCTGTACAACCTCCTCTAGCTAATGCTGGCGAGCATCTACTAGTTGAGATTCTCCTGTCACACACAAAAGTTCTTCTCAAAGTCTATTACAGCCCCTCTTTAAATGTCAACTTCTTTAGTTCTTTTGAACAGCTCTTGGGAGATGTTGTCCCATCTTATAGCCATACATTGATAACGGGTGATTTCAATACCTGTCTTCTGAAAAATGATTGCCGTGCTGCCTCTCTTAATTCTGTTATTAGCTCTTGTAATCTTCATATTCTTCCTCTTAGTGCCACCCATCATTTCCCAAACTCTTCTCCCTCACTTCTTGACTTGATTATAGTCTCTTCCCCTCATCTTGTCATGAAGCATGGTCAATGTTCGGCTGATGCTTTTTCATACCATGATTTAATTTACTTGTCCTACAAAATTCGTCCTCCCAAAATTAAACCCAAAGTCATTCTTCAGCGTGGTTTTGGTGGTATGGATAGGGAAGCGTTTCTTATTGACGCTCAAAATATAGATTGGTCGCCGGTAACTGATGCGGAGTCTGTGGACGAGCAAGTTGAGACCTTTAATTATATAATAACCCAGCTTTATGACAAACACGCTCCATTTCGTCTCATCAAGATTAAACATGTTCCAGCGCTGTGGCTTACCCAAGATATTAAAGCCCTTATGCACAAAAAATATGTTGCTAAATACAAATATAAACTCCGTCCAACTGATGCAAACAAAGTTAACTATGTTAGAGCTCGTAATCACTGCAATTTGGTGTGTAGGGATGCCTTACGTCGCCATATTCACGTTTCTGTAGATAATAAAGATCCAGCAAAAGTCTGGAATTTCCTCAGGTCTCTTGGAATTGGTAAGCCCCGACAAGAATCTATTCCTAGCAGCATTAACGTTGATTTACTCAACCTTCATTTCTCTTCCTCTTCTAGTCTCAGTGATTCTAATAAGACTAATACTTTAAATTTTCTTTCCTCCTTACCAGTTCCTGACTACTCTCCTTTTGTCTTTACTCAATTCACTGAATGTGACGTTAGTAGAGGCATGCTTTCTATCTCCTCCAATGCGGTGGGGAACGATGGCATTAGTCGTAACATTTATTTATTTATTTATTTATTTATTAGAAAACACATACAGCTATTTTTACAGGAATACTCCTAATGCAATAGTGTAGTTCTTAAAATTACAATTACTAAAATAAACATAATTGTATTAAAAAAAAGACAATAAAAAATAATTCCATTTTGTTACAAACTTATAAATTAACATAACATAGTGTACATACATATTTTAAAAAATGAATTAAATTATACTATTATTATTCAATACTTGTCATCTCTATTACCAATTTCCATTATCACCGATCTTTTAAATAAAGATAATGGACAGTGAAATAAATCAATTCTTACGGCAACTAGATTTAAGGTGTTCAACGTACGCGTCAAAGGTGACTTAGCTACTAGATTAGTTCTTGCGGCTGGTATCGCGAATAGTTTCGGCCGCCTGCGCCTCGCCACGTACCCATCCGGCACACTCAGTCTTATCATACCCAGTATTTCTGGATTTGAAATGCTGCCTCGAAATACTCTCATTATATAACATGCGAGAGCTAAATCCCTTCTTGTTTCTAGTTTGTTGTATCCAACCATGCCTAATACGAACAAGGTTGGATACATCAATGGATAGAACGGATAAACACCATATAATCGTAAATACAGATATCTTGTGAATTTATTTTGAATCCGTTCTAACATTAAACTGTACTTAGCTTCGTGTGGAGCCCACACGACGGCGTTAAACTCGAGCTTGCTTCGAACAAGAGCATCATACAGAGCCGATATAGTTTTTAAATTTGTAAAGCCCTGCGCACGACGCAAGACAAATCCCAGAGTCCTGTAAGCCTTTTTACAGACATCTACAATGTGCTCTCTGAAAGTTAAATCTGTGTTTAGTTTCACTCCAAGATCTCTGACCTCGAATGTACGCTTCAAAACTTCACCATCGATCTCATATTTGAAGTGGAGTGGTGATTTTGATCTACTAAAACTTATTACTGAGCATTTATTAATGTTAAAATTTAGTTTGTTATTTCGGCTCCATCCGACTACTCTGTCCACATCGTCTTGCAAACGAACACAGTCACTTGTATCTTTGACCTCTAGGAGCAATTTGAGGTCATCGGCGAATAATAAACATCGAGCATTCTGTACTACCTGTGGCAGATCATTGATCATTATCAAAAATTCCAAAGGGCCTAGATTCGATCCCTGACTTACCCCAGTTCTTGTGAGGTAAGGTTCAGACCTGCACCCGCCATACTCAACATATTGCTTTCTATCCCTCATGTAGGCAGCGAAAAACTTTAAAAGTTTTTTATTGCATCCGACAGCCGCCAACTTTGTGAGAAGTATATCATTATCAACCATGTCGAACGCTTTTTTAAAATCAAAGTAGGTGGTATCAACCTGCATCCCCGCGTCCACATGAGGGATGATGTATGCGATCGCATTGAGCAGATTGCTTGTAGTGCTACGCGCCTGCCTGAACCCATGCTGAGCGTCTGAAAATTGCGCCGCTACCTGCTTTTGTATAGTATTTTGCAGCGCAGACTCGAACACTTTCGCTGGCGTCGAAAGAATAGCCACCGGTCTGAAACCGCTCACTTCCGAACCAGAGTCCCCTTTTGGTATTGGAATCACCCGTGTTGTTTTCCAACATTCTGGAAAATAACAGTCCTCTAAACACAGATTGTATATGTGTAATAGCGGTTGTTCCAGAACCATGCGACAATCCTTAACAATAAAAGATGGAATGCCATCTGGCCCTGCCGAGGGTTTCGGTCGGAGGTGAGCAAGCGCCGAGCGCACCTCCGCCAGTGTGAGTCTTGGCAGGAAAACGCTCGAGGCGCTCGCCCCACCTCCAATCTCTGCCGCCTCCACGTCTAGCTTAGCAGATTCCGTACCATAAACCGACTGAAAAAATAATGCAAACTCTTTTGCACATTCAAAATCGTTTAGAACCTTTCCAAAAAATTATACTGCGATACTTCGCTATGAAAATATGAAGATGACGAAAACAGAGACGAGGGCCCGGGTGGTGACGCAGGCGCGCAGGAGTCCGCGGTGGTACCAGCGGCGGCGTCACCCCGGGCACGGCACCCGAGTTTTACCGCGACAGTAAGCGGTGGATGATACTTATCTATTGATACTAGGGCTTCATCCGCCTCGCACACATCCCTACGCTCCGCTATACTCGACGAGCATAACACCAAATCCAGCTGCCTATTATTACAATTCGCAACCTTATTCAGTTGTACTAATTCGCAAAATGCTACAAAAAATTCATAATAGTTAATAATATTATCATTACTCGAATGCAGATTAAAATCCCCCACGACTATCATTATTTTATATTTAATACACCATTGTTCTAAAATTCTAAACAACAACATATATTCATTTTCCTTACTATTAGGCGGAATATAAACTACGCAACATACAAATAAAAATCTATTATTCAAGTACACTGCTGCACCAACTATCTCGAATGAACAAGTATCTATGTTTATTTCACTAGGTACCTTCATTTGTCGCAGTTCAAACCGGTGTGTGGCCACGAAAAACGCTCCGCCCTGCTTTCGCCCATCCGCTCGGTCACATCGTAGGATTTTATAACCAGGTGGAATGATTTCTGCGTCCTGTATGGATTCGTTACAGCCCGTTTCCGTGATCCCATAGAAATCCGCATTCAAAAAATTTATACTATTGTAAAATAAATCTAGCTTGGTTCGAAGACCTCTTGCGTTTTGATAAAATAATTCAAAAGTGTTATGCTTTGTCGATTTGTTTATTTGTGGGTCTCCGAAACCAAATCCATTCTCCGAATTCCATATTTACTGGCCATAGCTCCGGCTGACACAACTTGTCATAATTTTTTTCGGATACTGTAATAATAAATGATGAATAATCTTTCTCTATTCTGTGTTTGATCCTTTCTATCTTAATCATTGCGTCTACTCCACATATTCCCCTTACGAAAGTTGTTAGATTATCCTCTGTAGTATCTTTTGTCAACCGCCAGACGTGAAGATGCCTGTTCCGCTCCAACCCTTTGATTTCCATTACATTGGCATTTTGACCTTTTCTTACCACCTTAGGTTGCACATTTGTCAATCGCCTGGTAGTTTGTGTCACCTCATTGCTGCTCCTCTGCCGATTTCGATTGTCAGACTGATCAAGATTAGGCAACCCTTTAGTGGAACTTCCAATGGCTTTTATTTGTTCATGCGTATTCCTGTCCGTCATCGACTTTTTGGCAGTTTTCCTGTGAACTGTGATCCACTCATTCTTCTTACCCTTGGGGGAAGCCTTCGATTCCGCATTAGTACGTTCCAAATGACGATCTATCAGTTGCTCGTCTTCTGTAACCGCTGACTTTGTGGCCTCACCATTCGTATCAACATCTGCGTTTCGGGTAGTTACCAGAATGCCGTCGGTACGAATGGTGTTAGCCACACAGTTACTCTGTGATTTATTTACATATTCCAATAGAGTGCCAGATCTCATGCTATCATGTGACTTAGCTACAGAGCTCAACAATAACTCGATGTGTTGGTTACGTTCGCATAACATATTTAGTTGATTTTTTAATAAGGTAGAATTTTCAACCAAAGTGTGTACCTGTTGTAATGCTGTTGTTAAGTGTTTTAGTTCCATATTAGTGATATAACACATCTGTTGAATATCCAAAATACATTTTTCCTGCATATCTAATCTATCTACCAGTTCCATACGTAGTTGTTTCAAGTTATCGATAAAAGTGACTTCATTATTTTTCTGTAACGTTTCACTGGAGTTAGCAGCAATCTTCCTCTGCTCTGGTGTTCGAACAGGTGTATCACTACTCAACCGTTTTGGTTTCAAGCTTAGGCACTCTGGGCATACCCACTGGCGTTTGTATTCCGTTGTGAAGGATTCAAAATCTGTCTCTTTAAATCCGAGACACAATAGATCATACACTTTATTGCATCTTGAATTGCAACACTTCATAGCTAGGCCATCAAGCACTTCTTTACTACAAGCTCGACAGTAAATAGCCATCGCGATAGCCAAAAATAAGCACAAAATACGAGAAAATTTTAAAACACGTCCGCACGTTACGTTTTGTGATGACATCATGTTAATACCAATCCTAGATATCATTCTTCCTGTCCTTACTTTCCTATTTAACAGTTCGATTTGCAATGCTATCTTTCCGTCAGTTTGGAAGGAAGCCCAAATTATCCCACTCCCTAAAAAATCGAACCCTACATCTACTGCCGATTTTCGCCCCATCCTTGAACGCCTCGTCCACAATCAATTTAATATGTTCCTATCTCGTCACAATCTCTTTAATCCTTTTCATTCTGGTTTCCGTCCCGGCCATAGTACAACGACTACTCTGCTCAAAGTAACAGATGATATACGCCTTGGGATGGATAATGCTCTAATTACGGTATTAACACTGTTGGACTTCAGCAATGCTTTTAATACCGTCAATTTTGACGTTCTTCTGGAATTGCTGCACTCTCTTAACGTATCTCCATCAGTGATTGAGTGGTTTCACAGTTATCTGTATGAGCGCAGGCAGCGCGTTTGCCTCGAGGAGAAATTTTCTTCATGAAGCGACGCGACTGCTGGTGTTCCTCAAGGCGGCGTTTTATCTCTTCTTTTCGCTGTCTTAATCAACTCTGTTTCAAATAATATTTCTTCTTCCTACCACCTATATGCAGATGACCTCCAAATCTATCGCCAAGCATCACTTGGTCAACTTGGAGATGCGGTGCGAGCTACTAATACCGATCTACTTACGATTTCAGAGTGGAGCAAATCCTTTGGATTAGAAATGAATCCCTCCAAGACTACTAGCATAATCTACTATTATGCTAGTAGTCTTGGAATCCTAGAACTACTTACGTAGTTTTAGGATGATAGATAGAGTAGACTGGCAGTCAATACCCAATATCCAACTGGCTGGTAATAATGTTCCTTTTAGCGCGTCGGTAAAAACTTGGGGTTAACATTCGACAATTATTTGAGCTGGGGTCCACAGATGCTGGGGTCAGCCGCAAATTGTTTACCTCAGCTGCGTCACTTAGGAGACTACGTAATTTCCTACCCATCATTACCAAAATTACCTTAGCACAGTCTTTGTTGCTACCCATTCTTGATTATGCTGACGTCTGCTATCTTGATCTTACGGAGGACCAACTAAATAAGCTTGAGCGACTTCAAAACTTTTGTATCCGCTTCATATTTGGCTTGCGCAAATATGATCACGTTTCTCAATTTCGTTCGCAGCTCAAGTTGCTACCTATACGTCTTCGCCGGAATACTCATATTCTTGCTCTCCTTTACAACATATTGTTCAATCCTAAGTCCCCGCGCTATCTTAAGGAATGTTTTAATTTCCTTCATACTTCTAACACGGTATCCCTTAGGTCATCAGAAAATCTTACTCTCATGACTCCTGTACACGGCACATCTTTTTATAGCCGTTCGTTTGCAGTACTTGCCGTACATCTGTGGAACTCTCTCCCACTTACCATAAGACGTGCGGAATTCATTCACGCTTTTAAAAACCTTGTTTAGTCCTATTATCATTATAAAACTTTCGTTTTTTTTTGTGATTTCTTGAACTAGATTTGTTTATTTTTGTGTATGTATTTTATATAAGAGTATATATATTGTATATTTTTATTAATATGTATGTATATATTATTACCTATTTCACTCAAGTGATTTACGCCGCCTTCTCTCCAACTTCCTTCTAGTCCTCTCCATCCAAAGGTTGCCTGGAAGAGATCGCTCTTAGCGATAAGGCCGCCCATTGATACACTAGTTTTAATTTGTTTTTTACTAAATGTAATGATTTTCGTGGTGTACAATAAAGCGTTTTGTATTCTATTGTATTTTACATCGCCGTTAAACGCTCCATTACACTACGAAAAACAACAATGTTTATTTAAAAAAAAAATCACCTGAAGTCTTCTCCCTCTTTAGTGGAAGATAGATCACAGACCGAAATTCCATTTTAAGGAAAAAATCCGCCATTATTTTATTGTTTCTTAAAATTCATAATATTCCAAAAAAAACATATTTTTTTTCATATTTTTAAATTGATTGTCTAAAAATTTTGATTCATTTTGGTAAATAGGTATAGGAAGCCTTAGAAAAGAACGAGGACTGCTTTTGAACGGAATGAAATATAAAAATCATAAAGTTTGTATGGGACAACAACTATCGTATGCAGTAAAATTGTTATGAACTTCCATAATCCATAGTATGTTGTCATTTCTTCCACATCATCTGCGTTGTGAGTCATTTAAAGTTTTACGACACCAAGTAAAATTATCCTTAGTTATATTTTTATTATTTAAGCATTGAACTGCTAGCTGATTAAATCTTTAGAAAAAATATCCTTTACCCAGAAACGAGGTTCCCGATAAATCACTTAATAAAAGCCGCGTATTCTCTGCCAGGAAATCTTATTCTGGGTGTGAACGAACCGAAATGAAAAAGGTTGAGTCATTTACCCCATACACTTTATGGAATTGAGAAATAATACTCTTAGGATATAACGGAACTGATGTAGTAATGGATCAGAAAATACAGTTTGGTACGTTGCCAATTTGGGGGAAAAGAGAGAATTTTAGCAGCGATTTCTTAGAGTTGTTGGTTAACTTACTATGTATTATTAACTCATCATTATTATCATATTAACTGCAGTAACTACGTTGTTAATTTTAACCAAAGCAAAAGGCACATACAATACAATGTAAGGATTCAAAAGAAATATGGATTCAAAATAGGTAGTATTAATTGAAAGAATACCTTAGTTTGTACGACTTCTCAACTCATAAACTTTCGAATGATGCCATGGAAGTTTTAGTATATTAATTGCTACAAAATACACTTTCGTATTAATACTATAATTACATTTAACACTTTTAGGGAAAAAACAAAGCAATCGAAAAATGTGTACGGTTCATGCCATACGGCGCTCTATTCTCCCTGCCTGCCCCACCCGGGGTGAAGATAGATAAATAAATAGATAAGGGAAAAACTATTTCTATAAAAGGTAAAAAATCTACTCGGAAAATCCGTAAAACAAATCACCGATTCAAATAAACCCAACATACAAGGTTTTAAAGGAGGCTGCGCAAATTTGTATGGGAGTTCGTCCAAGAACCAATACCGATACCGTTGTAGTATTTATGTAGGGATAACTCAACTATGCTTAAAAACAAAAAGGCATCAAAATCTGACGTAGTAGTGTCGAGAAAAATGACACTTTATATTAAAATTTTAGTTTATTTTTTTTGCATAAGATATTTTAAGTCTACTATTTCTGACCGTATTTGCATTCAGTAGTCAGTTTATATTTTTGTGCTAGATAAAATATGTACTAATGTAAATAAATTTGTTATTTTGTTTTTGTAGTATGCCTTTCTGGGGTTTAATATCATTATATCTAGCAGAAAAAAAATCACAGAAAGCAAACACGATCAGAATTGGGCTAATTAAACAAAATATGTGCATAGTAAAGTGTCATTTTTCAGACAACTGTTGGATCAAATTTAGACTCCCATCCGCATTTAAGTAATTTTTTTTAGTGTGTATGCTGTTCGTCGCAGATGACCTTTACAGCGTCACCGGGATTTAAGTGCAGTTGAAGTACCCCTAAATAAATACCACAACGTTATAACTATTGGTTCTTAGACTACTTTCGCCCAATTTCCCTTATTAAGAAAAGTGTGTCTCCACTGACTTAAAAGTTTCACAATTACCAAGTCCTAAGTTGCTAACATCAATGAGATCTCATTTCAAAGTACACTTTCGCTTAACTTAATATGAATTTCCGAGAAGGCAGACCGTGAAAGTTCTTGCATTTATCATGCGGCTTCGCTCAGCGGTGTGCTGTGTCAATATTAGCTACGTTAAGATTTCAGCACCTAATTAAAATCAGAGAAGGGCTACAATACAACGTATGTGAACTCATTGTAAAATAATGTACTTCTACTTTGTAATTTCACTTTAAATATTTTTTTATAGATAGGCCCGACAAATGACCCCACCCCACCTGATGTTATTGTAATATTTTGTTTTTGTACATACATATTTTCTTATTAAAATTATAAATTATTATTTAGAGATTTTCTTATAAATTGATATTAGACTAGAACTTCAACTGATAGGTTCTTTTGACTAAGAGTGGCAATTTCTTAAGGATGTCACAATAAGTACTTAAAATAACTTTGGAAAGCCCTGGTAAAAATCTCTTTTTTTTTATAATCATAAAATAGCTTTTAATATTAAAACAGGCGTATAATATTTTCGAGGCAAGTCCAAAGTCTAGCCTTTATAGGCACGTGTGAGATTTTGGCACAAATAATAAAAGTTTTGATGGAGACGAAACATTTGCGTTAGACATTCGTTATTTTTACAGACTTTGACAAAGGACTTCAATAACGGTAAAACTTATTAGTTACTGACTGAGTTGACTGTGTGCTTGTTTGCTTATAGACGCTTGCGATATCAAAAATATCACTCACACCGTTGCCTACCCTGAGTCCCTGACCCAATCCCCTACCCTGTGGAACCCTGGAACTTTACTCACTGACAATAACACAGCACCACCAAAAGGTAATGTTATTTTCCGTGATCATAAATAAGCTGAGGGGCGCTCCAATTCGATCGGGGAATCCACAATTCCCTTTCCTTACTCGGATCTCTTTCATTACGATCAGTAACTCACCATCTGTACCCAGTTTAGCTAAAGAGTGCTAACGACTGCTTGTGCAGTTAAATCATAGAACGAACAATTTTTATCTGCTGGACCATCCCTAGAATTGCTTTTTACAGTTGCTCCAGCAAATAGGACAAACTTAATACTTACAGCATCTCGTGAAGCTAGCTAACCTAGCCGAATATTCCAATGAATATTTTAATGGTTCACTCAAAATGGAACGACTGTTCGGGCTATTAACCTATACCTTACAGAAGAATTCAGTGTATTAACACTACCTGTTGGATGTGCTGTATTTGGTAGGGAATGAAATTTCCAGGGTAGAGGTTAGAGTGTAGAGTCCGAAACCTATTCGTGTACCCGTTTATGATAAGGACGGCAATAGTGGCTCTTTTAACTGCTGCATCAGCTATCTTTCCCGCTTAACTGTTACGCAAACTTCATATGAACTACTTCTACTACAAAAAAATATATTAATACCCTTTAATATTCACTATCACTGAATAAGGCTACACAGAAAAATATTGTTGTTTTAAAATAACACAACAAAAATACAGCTGACAGAGACATACTGACGAGAATATCTCTCCCAAAGAAACGGATTTATTCAACGACAAAGTATTCTGACTAATCGGTGGCAACATAAGATGATTATCAATTTTCTCTGAACCTTTGTAGGCGCGCCGGGTAGACGGATTGTGCTCTGGAAGGCCTTGGGCCTAAGCTACCTGAATTTATTCATGAAAATAAAACTACGAATCTGAAACCGAAGTAAGATCTAGGAAACTTAGGTTTCGGGTCTACTAAACTTCAATGTTGATATCATAAAATATTCCCGTTTAGAAGTTAAGGTGGTTGTTAAGTCAGTAGCGAGCGTAACTAGGCGCAGGTAACCGTCAGCTAGCTAGATAAGATTACACCGTGCTAAAATGTGTCAACTGTTGATTCACAAGTCTTGAATAGAATAATATACTGAATACGACAATAACAAATCATAATTATATGAATCGTCCTTTTGTGGATTTGCTAGCTACCAATCCACTGATAGATGTGGGTATTTTTATTAGAATATAGATGCGCGATAACGATGGCAGGTTTGGATGCGCGCATTTGATGCGACTGGGCCGATGCCATCTAGTTTTTGACTACTTTACTATAACTACAGTGCCACAATTTTCTGTGCCGGTGGCGATTTCGCTAGCGGTGAACAAATATGACAAAATGTTTTAGATAAATTGTAGTTAAAATTTTGCACAGAAAAATTTGTGGCACTAGACTGCGTTCAAAATCTACGCTCTGAGTGCAACTTTTAAGGTTATAATTATGAAAACATTCAATATCTTCAGTTACTATGCCAAAAAGTAAATAAATGGTTTCGATTACATTTTCAAGTCATGGTTCATGGAATCGGAAAAAAGACACCCAAAACACGCATCTGTCGTATCAATTCGTATCACATCGCTTCCTGTGATACTACGATACTAGCTAGACTGTCATTCACTTGACTTCGATGCCGGAATCGATGCGCGCATCGGAAGCGATTTATCTGATTTCGATGCACATCGATTTCACAAATATCTAAATACGCCCATCTCTATCCACTAATAGGTAATGAGACTATTGTTGTGGCTGAGGTACAAATAAAGAGAAGTTTGCAAAGTAATCGTATATCTAAAAGAAGGCTTTTATAAGCTATTTCGATGGCAGTGAGTAAGTACATTGACCGCTTCGCATCCGCTTAATTAGGCGATCACAAACAAGGCATGACGCAAAGTCTTAACCAACTAATCTTTCACAAAAGAAATAGGAGACGGTGGATTTTTTTCTCTTCCATAACATAGTCGTGAAAGTCTATCTGATAAAATCAAGTAGCTTTCTGCCTCAATAATTGTGACGATGCCTTTGTATTGAAAGGAATTTCACTACACAACAGACCTAACTATTACACAAAGCACAAAGCTACCGGAAAGGAAAGGTTAGGGCAAAAAAAAGGTCAAACAACCACGAAAACATGATTTTTTTCTTTTCTTTTCATAACAGGAATTGTGCTGACATCAAAATAATCAAACTAAGCGGGGGCTGTGTGACTAACA